GAAATTGGCAGTAACAGACGCACAGCAGTAGCATTAGTACAGCAGTAGCAGTAGCACAGCAGTAGCAGTAGCAAAATTATAAAACGTGAAATGGGCAGTAGCAGGAGCACAGCAGTAGCAGTAGTAAAATTATAAAACGTGAAATTGACAGTAGCAGGAGAACAACAGTAGCAGTACTTAGCAAATTTATAAAACGTGAAATTGACAGTAGCAGTAACACAGTAGTAGCAGTAGCAACATTATAAAGCGTGAAATTGGCAGTAGCAGTAGCACAGTAGTAGCAGAGGCACAAAAGCAGTAGCAAAATTATAACACGTGAAATTGGCAGTAGCAGTAGCACAGCAAAAGCAGTAGCAAAAATTATAAAACGTAAATTTGGCAGTAGGTGTAGCATAGCAGTAGCAAAATTATTAAACGAGAAATTGACAGTAGCAGTAGCACAGCAGTTGTAGTAGCACAGCGGTTGCACATCAGTAGCAGTAAAATTAGGACAACAGTAGCAGTAGCACAGCAGTAGTAGTAGCACAACAGTAGCAGTAGCACAGAAATAGCTGAACAGTGACATAAATAATATATTTTTTACAATCAATTAGCTTTTGTAATGATATTGAGTTATTTTATATTCATATGACCTTTAACCTTAATACTCATTTCTGTAAATTTCCACTGACCACGTTGTGCCTGCAGAATGTTATATCCTGGGAGATTTCCCGCCAATGCATCAGTCCAGATAATAAAACTGACTAGAACACACTTGTGTCTTTTCTCTTACTATATTCACATTTGTGAATCGCATGGACCAACTTTAATAGTATATAAGATATTCAAAGAATATTACATGGTGTCAGAATTTATAGTTGGAATAATAAGATAACAAAAAATGGAATTAACAGGACTTTCTGTGCCAGTTATAAACTGGGAAACGTCAAATCTTCCTGAACAATGGATTAAATTCCAAAGACATGTTGAACTGATGTTCACAGGGCCACTCAAGAACAAAACTAAGAAAGAAAAAATATCATATTTGTTGATCTGAGTCGGTGACAAGGGCAGGGACATTCACGCTACATGGGAGCCCTTCACTGGTGATGATGCTGAAAATCTTCAGTCTTATTATGATAAGTTCAAAGCACATGTGCAGCCGTCCTTGAATCCGATATTCGCGAGGTACAAGTTTAACAATGAAGTGCAAGGCACTGACAGTATTGATGCCTTCATCACAAGACTAAGACTAAGTGCAGCAGATTGCAGCTTTAAAGACAATGACGAAATTATCAGAGACAGAATTGTTTTTGGGACAAATTCTGGAAAAGTACGAGAGAAGTTGATAAACAAAGGCGAGGGATTAACACTCGAAAATGCTATTCAAATCGCACAAGCACACGAATATGCACAGAAACAACTTCAATCAATGGCAGCAGCTAATGATGTACACCTGGTTAAGCAGCACAAATCAAAACATAAAGGATAAAAAACCAATCATTTCAACAACCTAAACAACAACAACAACATCAACAAAGAAATTATCATAACACTCAAAAACAAGATGGAAGAAAACCACTGAAATGTCAACGATGTGGACAGAACACTCACAGACCAGGGTCAAAATGTCCAGCTGAACATTCAACGTGTTACGCATGTGGAAAGCAAAATCATTTTGCAAGCGTTTGCAGATCTAGAAATAAAAACGTTGACAATGTGAAGTATTCTGAATACAATTATAGTGACAACGTTCATTCGGAAAATCAGGATTATTACGTTGATATGGTAAAATTTTCATCTTCTACTCCTGATCGTGCCTTTGTACCAATTAATGTCGGTCCTTCCCATATTCCTGTTAAATTTAAGATAGATACTGGGAGCGCGGTAGATATTCTACCATTGAGCCATTATGAGAAACTTAAGATAAAACGACCTCTTGAAATCGCAGAAAATAGATTAACATCGTACACAGGCAACATGTTACCTGTATGCGGTATAATAAATCTGCAATTGCGCTACAACAACAAGACTAGCGAGTCATTATGTTATGTTGTTGATAGTCCGACAGTCCCGCTGCTAAGTTTACAATCGTCTGTTAACTTAGGCCTGATAAAGCTCACATATTCAATAGACAGGTCAAATACAGAATTAGATAAACAAAGGGTCATGTCAGAGTATGGGAACTTATTCCAAGGTGTAGGGGTCATCCCAGGTGAATGTAAACTTCACATTAAGAGTGATGCTGTTCCTGTAATAAACGCACCTAGGCGAGTGCCGGAAGCTTTAAGGGACAGGCTTCACGAAGAACTCCAGCGCATGGAGAATGATGGAATAATAACTAAGGTCACTGAACCCACGGACTGGGTAAACTCCCTAGTCATTGTAGAAAAACCAAAGACAGGTAAACTCAGTGTTTGCCTTGATCCAAAAGCTTTAAATGAGGCTATAAGGCGACCTCACTACACAATGCGTACTATTGACGACGTTACATCAAGACTGACTGATGCAAAATACTTCAGCATACTTGACATAACACACGCATACTGGAGCATCAAACTTGATGAACAGTCTTCATTATTAACAACCTTCAGCACGGTATTCGGCAGATACCGTTGGTTAAGACTCCCATATGGCATATCTGCATCGAGTGACATATTCATGCAGAAAGTAGATGAAATTTTTGAAGGATTGCAGGGTCTAACAGCCATAGTAGATGACATTTTGATATATGGGAAGACACGTGAAGAACATGACGCAAACTTGCGTAACGCCCTTGAAAGAGCACATTCCAAGGGAGTAAAGTTCAATCCGGACAAATGTATCATCGGGGTAAAGGAAGTCCCATTCTTTGGTCACCTAATAACATCAACAGGGTTAAAGCCAGATCCTAGTAAAATAGAGGCAATTATGAACCTCAAAATACCAGAAAATAGACAGCAACTTGAAAATGTTCTTGGTATGGCAAATTATCTGCAAAAATTCTCTCCAAACCTAGCAGAGGTCACAAGCCCCATGAGATCCCTACTAAAGAAAGATGTAGAATTTGTTTGGGATTTTTCCCAGACAGAAGCATTTACGAAAATGAAAAACATAATCACAAATACCCCTGTTCTTGCATACTTTGACCCAAAACAGAGTGTAACTCTTGAATGTGACTCTTCGATGCGTGGGGTCGACTCAGCCATCATCCAAAATGGCCGCCAAGTTGCCTTCGCTTCTAGGACATTGACAGAGACTGAATCTAATTATGCTAACATAGAAAGAGAGATGGTAGCAATACTGTTTGGTTGCACGCGCTTCCATCAGTATGTATACGGTAGACATGTAATTGTACACTCCGACAACAAACCTATTAGCTCAATCATGTTGAAAAGTTGGTCTGCATGTCCACCGAGACTTCAAAGAATGCGGTTACAGTTATCAAAATATGACCTTGACGTACGCCACGTTCCTGGAAAACAAGTACCAATCTGTGACTTACTTTCTAGACAACCGCTTCCAGAGACATTACAATTAGAGGGTCTCGACTTACATGTACATACAGTGTTGAAAGGGTTACACATAACCGATAACAGACTGGAATGAAAGGCATGAAACTCAAAATGACACGAGCATGCAGATTCTGAAGAGAACTATTATTGACGGATGGCCAGTTTCACGTGCAGACTGTAAACAAGAAATAATTGAGTTCTGGAACCACAGGGACGAATTGTCGTCTGTAAATGACCTTATATTCAGAGGGCAGAGAATCGTCATACCTGTCTCTGCAAGAAAACAGGTGATTGAATCAGTGCACCAAGGTCACATGGGTGTAGAAAAATGTTTACAAAGGCTAAAGACGTAATGTTTTGGCCTGGTATGACAAAAGAAATCACAAATCATGTTTTAAAATGTGCTTTATGTCAAAAGTACAGGTATTCCAACGCAAAAAGAACCATTAACTCCCCACGACGTGCCGGACCGACCTTGGCAAAACATTGCCGCTGATCTCTTCTCCTTTGACAGTAAGGACTACTTGCTGACTGTAGACTACTATAGTAGATACTTTGAGGTAGATGCTCTACCTAACACACAAAGCATTACTATAATTAGAAAGCTAAAAGTTCACTTAGCAAGGTATGGCATATGTGACAAACTTGTCACTGATAATGGGCCACAATTCTCTTCTGAAATATTTTCAGATTTTGCAAAAGATTGGGGGTTTTCCCACATAACATCCAGCCCACTCCACCCAAACAGTAATGGATTGGCCGAAAAAACAGTGTCGATTATTAAACGGATATTCAGGAAAGCTCAGGAGAGTAATCGAAATCCTTATCTCGCGATACTTGAGTACAGAAACACCCCTCTTGAATGTGGCTTCTCCCCATATCAATTACTAATGGGTAGAAGAACTAAATCTATTCTACCTACCACAAATTCTCAGTTACAACCCAAAACAGTAAATTGTAAACAGGTACGCGAAAAGATGCAGAAAATAAAGCAGAAACAAAAAAGTTGCTATGATAAAACATCAAAGCAACTACCCCTTCTTACACTTAATGAGTATGTCCGCATCAAGGTCAACAAAACATGGGAACCAGCAAAAGTGATAAAAATTCACAATGACCGATCCTACTCTGTAATAACTCATGCAGGTGGCATTTACTGCAGAAATAGGCGAATGCTTAATAAAACTGAAGAAACTTTCCCAGAAATTCAGGAATTTTCCCCCAACATTTTGGCTAATAACCCTATAACTCCCTCAATTAATGGAAAAAATTCAGAATCACATGATGCTGACCACTCACTGACCTCCCATAAGCCAAGCCCAATTGACCACTATTATCACACACGATCAGGCAGGGAAGTGAAATTGAACAAACGATATTATAATGAGAACATGGTGAACAATGGGGGCAATAAAGATAGAGTTCTCTCAGACTGACCAGTATTGTTTCCCTTGAAAATAGAGGGCATAAAAATACTCTCTCTGTTCACTTCGTTAATACACATGATAGATAAACTGTAAAGTTAACATGGATTCAGGAACAAAGAAATCTCATTATTATGGATGGAGTGTCGTAAATCTGAAAAAAGAACTTACAAAAAGAGGTGCTGTTATTCATGGTAGAAAGGAGGATCTAATAGAAAGGTAATATACTGCTTTAAACTCATTAAAACTGCTATATTTTACACACCAACAGTCATTATTCATTATTCTTATGCATGTATTATATAGGTCAGTCAGGAAGGTAGATGCTTAGATACAGTATACATTACTTAGAATTGTACTGCCCAAGGTGTCTAGATAAGAGTAACTGATAAGATTTATTCATACCTATCTGCCTTTTATTACATCTACTACTGAGATGTGTATTTGTTTATCTGTAATATCCAGATTCATTTAGGGTTTTATAATGTAATGGAAGAAATGCACTTTCACACTTTCACCTGCACATACATATTGTTAACATTATGATAAATGATTTTGTATTTTACAGACTAGAGGCATATGATAGAAATCAAGATTTTCGAGGAGAAGTAGTGATTTTACCAGAACCTCTAGATCCAGACTGGCCGGGTGATGGATTTCACCAATTACAACTTGAACATCAAATCCATCTGCCTAAACTAACAAAAGAGCAAATAGATGGATACTTTAAATACAGGATGGCAGATGACAACGAACAGATCTCAGATCTTAAAGCTCTACAAAAAGGTAAAAAAATGTATGAGAGTCAAAAGATATATGCCTGCAGTATTAATGTAAAAACACCATCCATATTTTTCACTGGATTTGTTGGAGCTGCTATGCGTAAAAAACTAACGTACAACTACAAAATTAGGATAGACAAAGATAATGGTGAAGTACTAAACAGTCACTGTGAATGTCCATCTGGCAAGGGTCCGCATGGCACGTGCAAGCACATAGCAGCTGTGCTTTATATGTTGCATGATTTTGTACAAAGCGGATCTGACCCAAAAGTTCAACAGTCTGCACAGAAATGTTACAAACTTTCCATAAGCCCAAGAAAACAATATGCTGGAACACCTGTAAAAGCAAAAGACATCCCAAACCCCAAGAAAATGTAAGCTGACGGACCCAAGGCCACCGGAATATCGAAATATTGAAGGCTATGAAGATCATGTAAGGAGTACAGTTTTGAATTACTGTGCAACACACATCAAAGGACATTACAATGAAGTATATGTGGGAAAGGGCTGATTTGCAAGCAGCTGCAAATGATCATAATTACTTGGATCTACCTGTCACAGAACACTGGGTTGACAATTCCTATGTATGCTCAGATAGCACCATTAAAGAGTTGGAAAAGAAAACGCGAAAACAAGCAGACTGTAAGAGATGGAAGGAAGAAAGATTGTGGAGGATAACCAGCTTCTCGTTTTGGTGAGGTATGTAAGCTTACAGCACGAAGGAACATGAATAAACTATGTAAACTCTTTCATGAAGACATCAAGACTTTGCAATAAAGCAATAATTCATGGAAAACAGTATGAATCAAAGGGATTAAAAGTGTTCCAATCAAAATCAGGATTGAACGTTCAGAGTGTGGTCTATTTATTTTTCAATGAAAGACCATATATAGCAGCAATCGCCTGATGGTCTCATAGGTAGTGATGCCTTAGTTGAGATAAAATGTCCATACACCGAAGAGATAATATGATAGCACCAGGAAAATTATTCCCATATTTAGAGTATCGAGATGGGGAGATAGAATTAAAGCAAACAAGCAATTACTATTATCAAGTTCAAGGACAACTGTATATATGCAAAAGACAATGGTGTTATTTCATTGTTTACACATTCAAAGACATTCTCATCAGAAAGATAATGATTGACAAAGAATACTGTGAGCATAGTCTGTTACCAAAACTTGAAGTCTTCTATGAAAAGTATCTTCGTAAATATATAGCTGCTCAACTATAATCAGTGTGAAAGAAAACAAATCAACATCTATACATGATTTGAAAAGGATGCCATTGCAGAGAAATGAGTAGACAGTGTAAATGTTAATGTATAAAAAATAATTATTTGATCGAGTGAATGAATAGAAAAATAAACAAAGATTGTATTGATTTTGTCTTAATTTTATTTAGAATTTAATATTATTATATTCTAAGTATATTCATGCTAACCTTCCAACAATAACAGCGGTGAAAATTGGTAATTTTGAAGCATATAAATGCTATTCTTTGAACCCAGATTAACTTTTGACATTGGAAGTTCAGAACTTAGTATTTTAAAGTTTTTCGCAAGACCAATGACTCTTTCAACATGTATACGTTTGGACGCAATGCGTCTGTCCTTCACGACTGTCCTGGTTCAAGCTTGTGATTTTCCTGCCAGCATAGTAGGTGTATTGACCTTTACATCCTTATTTGCAAGAAAATCTTGCACCATTATCCCCCGGTCTGCCATAATGCTGTCTTTTTTATTAAAAAGGTCTTTCTTACAAAGATCTGAACGCTCTATTATTTGTCTGTCGCTAGCTGTTCCGGCATAAGAATCACTGACAAATGTAACTAAACCTCTTGGTGAAACACCAATCATAGTTTTGAGGGTATTTTTATGTTTATATGATGAAAACGTCGAGCTTTGAGCTGAAACATTTGATGGTTTCTGTATTGGGACCTCTGTTGCATCAAGGATGACACGTGTTGTTGAATGTTTCCTCTTAAAATCCTCGGGCATATATTGTGTAATAATATCTCTTGTAGGCCATGTATTTATTTCCTTTAGTTGACAATACATAAAGTTTATCCATGTTTCAATCACCTTCGAAATAGTCGTTGACTCACACAGAAAAATAGGCTAAGTTCATAGTCTTCCTTATTTAGACGAAGTTTCATTAATGTTAAAAACAATTGGTTTTTTGGTTCTATCTTTTGACACTTATAATTTAAATGGTTTACAGCTGGTCCTAACACATGCAAAAACATCATGAAATGGCCATAGTCATCAAATCCAGTATAATATTTGACTGCATTAGGTTTGTCTTTATAATTTTCTATTGAATATTGTCCACTTTTGTCAGTTAATATTTCACATTGTACTTGGGTACTTGCAAATTGATCACTATCACTGGCAATGGTTGCTATTTTATTTTCTGTTATAATTTCAATCTCATTGCATAAATTGGATATATCTGGGTCACTAAGGTGGACACAGGTATGCTTGAGCGTGTACATGTTGAAGTACGTTTTTCATATCTTTTCTTCCTGTTCAAATCAGCTTCATATTTGGCTACAGGGGTCTTTGTCATGCGTTCATGAAACACTGATGGCACTGCACCTCTTATCAGCCTTTTTCGTTTCCCTGAAAGATAAAATTGTTATATATACATAGTATAAATCATAGAAAGATTTACTCACACTATTCAACTAAAATATACTGATTTATTTTAATAAAATATTACTTACATTGTACATTATATGTTATAGTACATGCACGTGTACTACATGTTCTTATTACCAACGCACCACAACATATATAGAAATACAAGTATATTATCAACACCAATGTTTAATTACCTTCTGCAGTTGTTGTATAATCCTCTGGTAGAAAATGTTTATGACACACAACATCATGCTTTGATGGTTCCCATAACTTTGTCTTATTTCCTGATACAGCCTTCTTTACTGCAACTCTCCACTTGTCTCTTAAAACTTTGTCTTTTGGAAAATGCAATCCACCAAAGCTCTTACATAAAGGTACACAGCAATACTGCACCATTTTCAGATTGTATGTTATAAAACATTCACCTCTAGAATAATATCAACAAAGCACATTCATTAACCAAATACACAAATCAACCTTGGAATTTAGCATTGAAAAGCTATATAAACCTATGTTGTAAACACTGATAAGCGGTCAGCAGAGAGAATTTACTATGCCCTCTAAATACTACTTCCGCTGTAGAGAAAAGCAGCTTATTGCCCCCATTGGAAAAAAATACTGACAATTGACAAAAAAAATACTGAGTGTTTACTAATAAGAAAACATCACAAACAAAAAATTAAACTATAAAGAAAAAAATATATAAACTGGAATAAACACATACATTGTTTGATAAACATATATTTGTTTATATAAACTGATTACTTAATTGATATTTAAACATGTTTTATTCTAACGTTATTTTTAAACTGAACCATATTCCTTTATGATTTTATTAACATGTGGATACCATTCAGCTATGTATTTAAAAAGAGGGAAATGTAATGATATTGAGTTATTTTATATTCATATGACCTTTAACCTTAATACTCATTTCTGTAAATTTCCACTGACCACGTTGTGCCTGCAGAATGTTATATCCTGGGAGATTTCCCGCCAATGCATCAGTCCAGATAATAAAACTGACTAGAACACACTTGTGTCTTTTCTCTTATTATATTCACATTTGTGAATCGCATGGACCAACTTTAATAGTATATAAGATATTCAAAGAATATTACAGTTTTTAAATGTATAATCACTTCTAAGACGATTTTCAGTGAACACATTTTGTTATTTAAAATCAATTGCTAAAAAACTAATAAAGAATCACAAACTGGATTGAGTTCAGCAGTCATTCTAAATTATACAGACATGTTTTAGAAAAAAAGACAATGTTATTATATATATATTGTTTCATCAGATATGTAATTGTATTTTTTCTTTACAAACGAAGATCGGTTGCTTTCGTATGCTGAATACTCCAGATAATCGATTTCATGACCGAACATAACTTTTTATTTACCATTAAATGATGTATATAATTATGATGTATATCTTTTTTCCACTGAACGAGATTTTTTTATTATCATTATTAAACGAACAAAATTCAACTTTGAATCCAGACATATGTACGTTACTTAACAGTTAGTTTTCTATATTTTCATATATTTATTTTATTTTTTGTGGTTGGTAGTATCATTCAGGTTTCTTTTTTTTTCAGCAAAGCAGAAAGTACTGACCGTTTCAATGCACATGTAAATGAAAATGATATGGGCAAACACAGAGCAACATTTTCAAAGATGCAATTATAAACATGATAAAAATTAATTTCCTCCAAGAATCATGTAACTTAACAAGAGTACATAAAGTACAGCATTTTATTATGTTGATATTTACACTGATGTATATTTGCCAAGATATCAGATGTGGTGTATTTCCTTACATTAGAGTAGATTTAATAGAATGGCACAATGAAAAACAAATAGAGATTTTGATGCTAAAGCATCAAGTCGCCGGATAGAAATATGATTGTATATCATAAATAAAAGAAAATATCAGTTTAATGGTTCGAGTGTAAAGAAAAGAGGAACAATAAGTTGAGTAATGTTTATTCATAAACACGTTCTTGCCACAATTATATCTTTCTTGCTATAAACTTTGTAAAAGAGTTTTATGCAATAAATTTATGTTATGTTATAATAATACATCATATTTGAAGCAAACTTGCTTAGCAATTTTGTCAAGAAACTGTTATCATTATTAAATAAGCAAGTATTGTTTGGCAATATTTACCCGAGACTCAATAATTTTCGGGAGCTGTTTCGTTAGCTTACATAACTATTTATGATTAATGTTAACAATTTTTTTGTAAGCATAATTACATGTATAATTATATCAATTAATACTGCTCGATGGCCTAGTGGTAAGTATGACGAAGTTGTAACCTACATGTAGTAGGCGCAAGTTCGAATCTTGGACAAATCCTGAGTGTAATTTTCATAAATTGATTTTTAACTTTATGAAACATAAGTTGATAACTCTTGTGCTTCATTTCTAGCACTTTTTTATTTCATAATTTTGATAAATGGTCAAGTTTTGCAAAATACAAAAAGTATTATAAAAGAAAACATAAAAAATCACTTTATCGAACCTACAGTCTTCAATTTGAAACTAACTTAAAATCTAACACCTTGTCATCGAGGCTTGTAAAGCAAGTGATATGATTATAATTCTACTTGTAATTCTACTTTATACATATACCGTTGTACCATACATTTGAACTCCGTATGGTTTACTTCAGAATCCGATAATTACCGACAAATTATTACCGATCATCGAATACTTGCAAAGT